CCATCAGAATAAATGCGGTCATTTATTTAACAGAATCAAAATTTAACATCAAAACATGTACACTTGATTGACTGATCTGTTTCTGATTAATAAACTTAGCAAGTTCAAATAACAAGACAACAGAAGATTACTGATGGAGAATAATTCATCTTTGAAGGCATCTAGCTTGATTTACTGGCGCAGAGGTTTACAGAGAAGGAGTAAAGAAGTTTTAGATTTAAAGAGGAGGTTTTAGATGGATGAAGGAAGATGTGTTGACCAGAAATGGCACCCTTCCTCCGACCCCAGCTCAGCCCTCGGTACACTTGATTTGCGTGACGACTCGTTATCTTGGCAGAAGATAAATCAGCTCCGGTACAGAGGTCCATTTCACGCCATCTTTCAGCGTCTCCGGTCAGAGTGGCTGGGAATCGTCAGAAGTCATGACGAAGTACTCCGTTCAACAGAATAAGCTTCCTTAGAAGGAATCTTCATTAGGAGTTGTAGGGCGTTGCGCCCGGGTGAGTTCACAGCGAGGCGTGCTGTGACTCCGCTGGAATGGACGGACCCTTGGCACATGGTCAAATCCATCAGCTACTTAGTTCAGCTGTAAGACTCCAGCAAGACTGCAGTCCCAGCCAGAACTCCAAACAGACTTTCAGTAAGAACTGAAAGTTCCTGTAAGACTCGCCGTCAGACCGAGTCTCATCCTAGACTGAAAGTTCCAGGACGACTTGTAAGACTTAAAATCCCAGGAAGACTGACTAGTTCCAAGAAGTGTTGACTTTTAAAGGGTATCCACTTCCTGTTACGTGGTACTTCCTGATTGGTTAGCACAACCAGCAGGGGTGTAGTTTTAGTGATGTCAGAGGGTTATTAGAAGTCAACAGACAGCAGAAATGTTTTTAAGAACAGTTAGTACAAACAAGAAAATATTTTGAAGAAGTGAGACTCGCAAGTGCCAGCCAGTTCCTTATTTACTGTCTGAGAGTTTTAAAACAAGGCACTTTGTTCTCATAACCTGTTCTCTGACTTTTGACCGACTTCAAATCCACTCCTCATTCAGACAGAAGATTAAAATGCACACTTACTTTGTAAATAGACATTTAACTTAATGAGGTTTAAAAATCATTAGTACTGTTTCACAGTTGATTTAAATGAGTGGTTTACTGCAACATTAGAAATGGTACGAATTAAACACACTTTTCATTATCAAGATATTGTAAAATAGTAATGATAATATAAAAAAGAAGAGTGTTCTTTCAATTGATTAATTCAGGATTCAATTAAATAGTCTCTTGATGAGATAATTTGTATTTCTGGATTCAAATCAATGAAATAACAGTTCCTGTCCCCTGAAGGTCTTCAGAGACAGATTGATGCCGTAGGTCTAGTTCACTACAGCTCACTCCTGCCATAGTTTCTGTCCCTCATGTTACCATGTTTCTGTTTCCCTGCTTTGTTTTGCCTGTCACCCATCTTCAGCTCAAGCCTGCTCCCTCCAAGCCATGCCACGCCTTCCTTGTCTTTTCCACAGCAGTCAGCATTCATTCAGCAGCATGCCCCCTAGATTTCATGCCAGCCACCTCCTGACTCCTCCATCCAGCAGCTAATAATAAAAACTGTTTTTGCACTCCTGACAGGTTTTCATAAAATGTTGAAGAAAATGTTTTATTGCCTCAAACCAAAGAGTTCTCCATGTTTTCATACCCAGCAATGTTTACAGTCATTTTGTTTCAAACATTAATTTATACATGTTAACTCAAATGTGTCATTAAGTGTCAATTTATGTGATCAAAACATGTAACCCTTCTTCTTCTTTTGAGAAGATATAAGATTTTTTGTTTTACCAAATGGAGGTGGTGTCGATACTGCGAAATTTGGTATTGATCCAATACCAAGTAAATGCATGTCCGGTATCACCGATACTGATACTTTTTTATTATTACGGTGAATTTTGACGACGTTAAAGTGTTTTGTGATTTTCCTTTGGATCATTCTTCCACATGATTTTTCATGTGCTTGTATAAATTTGTTGTATTACCACTGCATCTTAAAGCCTTTTACTTTTACAGGGCAGCTGTGGCTGAGTGGTTAGAGAAGTCGTCCTCCAATGCAAGAGTTGGGGATTCAAATCCACCAGCAGTCACATGTCGAAGTGTCTCAGGGCAAGACACTGAACCCCTCGTTGCCTCCGATGTGTGTCCCATCGGCGTATGAATGTGATAAAGCTCTGATTAGTCTCTTTAGAATGATTTGTTCACTTAGCTTTGTAGAGATCTAGTAGAGTGCTGTATGAATGGGTAAATGAGGCACAGATTGTAGTGTTAAGCACTTTGAGTATCTTGATAAGATAGAAAGGCGCTATATAAGTACAGTCCATTTACCATTTACAAATTAAACAGCTTGCCTTTATTTCATTTTCAGCCTGAGAATATAGCCACACAGCACTCCTCTTCCTCTCTGTCATTTCTCTGCTCCGTCTTGGCCCTGCTTGCGTGTGTAAGTTGCTGCTGGGTCGGGCCTGCTTGCTGGCTTGCTTGTCTGGTGCCGCTGAGTCATGTGATGGTATAACATGAAAACACTGTGGGAAGGGGCCGAGCAAAGTTGCCTGCTCTGTGTTGTGACAGGAGCGGCACTTACACAGTCGGCTCGCATCTTTGATGAAACCGCAGCAGTGCATACAGGAGATAAACTGAAGCTTAAGTATCGATCTCATTACACTGGTGTTGATCCATATCAATACCAATGTTGATATCGATATTATCGATATTTGGTTTGATTCGCCTGCCACTAACAAATGGATATTAATATACAAAACAAATAGCCTAAAAAAATCAACTCTAAAGATAGGCTATTATACAGATGAACAAAAATATTTTTAGAGCAAAATTTTTTGGAAAAATATAGAACAAGGCTATTTTAATTGAACACGCTGCTCGCATCGACTTTTGTAGATGCTGCTACTTCCTTCACCGCAGATGACAGGTGTGGAGACACACGCAGCCGGTGATTAGCAAATCTATCCATCCCTTCATTTTCTTTACCCGCTTCTTCCTTTTCGGGTCACTGGTGCCCATGTTCAGCCATCACAGAGGCGAGTTACACCCTGGACAGGTCACAAGTCCATTTCAACCGGCGGGTCAGCGGACGCACGTGGCCGTTGACAGTTTGTCTATCTGAGCTTAACGTGGCTTTTTTTTTACCTCTTAAACTGGCCGGTCGGACCTGCCTCCTTCTCAACAAGTAGATTAACACAATTTTATATTGTGCATTCTTATTTAGTTTTCTTTGTGCTATGATTCATAAAACCGCATCATAAAAGTCTGAGCCCACGTGCGCAATTATTGCGCAATGCGCCAGCGATCTCTTCACCGTCTGATTAACTGCTGAACTCTCCTTTCTTTCTTCAACATCAACATTCATTTCCTCTCAACATATAAACTTAAGCCTCCTCTTTTACAAATAGATCAACACATTTTTATACCATGCAGCATGATTCATAAAACCGCATCAAAAGCTGAGACCGGCCAGCCACACAATAAGCACATACACACACATCATGGCCCTCCCGGCCAAATCCGGGTCGGGCCAGGCCAGGCTCCAGGTTCGGGTTAGAAATGACAGCTCTACCTCCGCAGGATAGAGGCCTTTATAGGCCAAAATAAGTAATGCGATTAATCTGCATTATGTAATATTAATGTGTTAATCATTTTTAATTAATTGCATGTGTTAACGCGTTAATGTT